CTCAGACACACACACCAGGCTCATTCTAATGTGGGTGAAGTGTCTTGCCTAAGGACACAGCCACAGTTTGGCACTTTCCCACTAAGCAAGCCGACGTTGAATCAACGTCATTTCAACGTCGTTGTCCGACGTAGAATATAGGTCACTGGTGGGTGCAGAATGAAAGTTTTCTCGACGTCGTTTCCCGACGTCACCTCAACCTCCAAATGTTACGTTGATGGCACGTCAATTCAAGGTTTGAATGTGGTACGGAACCGGTCGGGTCTGACGTCCTATCAACGTCTCGTATGACCAAAATATAGACGTTTATATGACGTTCGTTTTTAGTCGTTCCCACTAAGCAAGCAGATGTCAAAACAACGTAATTTCAACGTCATCTGGACGTTCATTCAAGGTTGCAATGTGGTACAGAATCGGTCGGGTCCGACGTCCTATCAACGTCTTATATGACCAAAATATTGACGTTCATATGACGTTCGTTTTCCGTTGTTCCCACTAAGCAAGCAGATGTCAAAACCATGTCATTTCAAAGTTATCTGGACGTTCAAATGACGTCGAGGCCACGTTCATTCAAGGTTGCAATGTGGTACAGAACCGGTCGGGTCCGACGTCCTCTCGACGTCTTATATGACCAAAATATTGACGTTTATATGTCGTCCATTTACAGTCCTATTGACCTACTTAACCTCTGCAGAATCACTTACTAGTCGAGACATACTTTTTGCAATAGGCAAGGCAAGTTTATTTGTATAGCACAGTCAAAACAAAAGGAAACTCAAAGAACTGAACAAAAGATAGAAACAATCAAACAAGGCATTACAATTATGAATATTGACAGTAAATTAAAAAGATACAAATAAAATCTCTCATCAAATCTCTCAGTTGAAGCAGAAACAGAAGTGTTTTAAACCTGGATTTTAACATTGTCAAAGAAGAAGCCTGTCTCACATTTCCAGGAAGACCGTTCCAGATTTTAGCCTTGTGAATCTGAAATGCAGCTATATAATGTTTAGTTCTGACTCTGGGCAATAAACGATAAACACAGCATTCAAAAATCATTAGAACAACTGTAGTAGAAGGATATCAGTCATTATTGCAAATGGAGCTGCATTAAAATCATCATGTTTCTCTACATCAAAGTACAAGTTAAACCACACAGGGCACAGTGTTATGAACACTACTGTACTGAACAGTTCATGCCAAAGTAAAAAAACATGATTGTAGCGCCTATGTTTGGATCAGTATTAAAACAGGCACAAGCTACACTCTAGGTTCCCCAGATGTAAAAACACAATCTGAAAGGCAGAAGAATGCATTTATTGAATGTTGAGGTTCCAACATGTGTCCTCTCTTGGTCTTCAATTCACTCACTCGTTACAGTCGCTCACTCGTTACATTCACTCAGTCGTTACATTCACTCACTCGTTACATTCACTCACTCGTTACATTCACACACTCGTTACATTCACTCACTCGTTACATTCACACACTCGTTACATTCACACACTCGTTACATTCACACACTCGTTACATTCACACACTCGTTACATTCACACACTCGTTACATTCACACACTCGTTACATTCACTCACTCGTTACATTCACACACTCGTTACATTCACACACTCGTTACATTCACTCACTCGTTACATTCACTCACTCGTTACATTCACACACTCGTTACATTCACTCACTCGTTACATTCACTCACTCGTTACATTCACTCACTCGTTACATTCACTCACTCGTTACATTTGCTCACTCGTTACATTTGCTCACTCGTTACATTCGCTCACTCGTTACATTCGCTCACTCGTTACATTCACACACTCGTTACATTTGCTCACTCGTTACATTCGCTCACTCGTTACATTCGCTCACTCGTTACATTCGCTCACTCGTTACATTCGCTCACTCGTTACATTTGCTCACTCGTTACATTTGCTCACTCGTTACATTCGCTCACTCGTTACATTCGCTCACTCGTTACATTCGCTCACTCGTTACATTCGCTCACTCGTTACATTCGCTCACTCGTTACATTCGCTCACTCGTTACATTCGCACACTCGTTACATTCGCTCACTCGTTACATTCACACACTCGTTACATTCACTCACTCGTTATATTCACTCACTCGTTACATTCGCTCACTCGTTACATTCGCTCACTCGTTACATTTGCTCACTCGTTACTTTCACTCACTCGTTACATTTGCTCACTCGTTACATTCACACACTCGTTACATTCACTCACTCGTTACATTCACTCACTCGTTACATTCACTCACTCGTTACATTCGCTCACTCGTTACATTTGCTCACTCGTTACATTTGCTCACTCGTTACTTTCACTCACTCGTTACATTCGCTCACTCGTTACATTCACTCACTCGTTACATTCACTCACTCGTTACATTCACTCACTCGTCGTATTCAGACACATACATAAATAGATCTGATGTGTGTCTTTCAGATCTGTCTTTTGGTCCATTTTAAGTTTATGGGCTTTAGGTGAATATGATCAAACCATATCTACTGTGCTCATGCTACATCATGTAACCACGGAAACTGTAGTTGCTGGTTTAATATGGTTTATCTTTCTGGTCTCTCCTTGATCACTCTGGTCTCTCTGCGTGGTTTTTCTCTGGTCTCTCTCCAGTCCCTCTCTCTGGTCTATCTCTGGTCTCTCTCTGGTCTCTCTCTGGTCTCTCTCCGGTCCCTCTCTCTGGTCTCTCTCTGGTCTCTCTCCAGTCCCTCTCTCTGGTCTCTCTTGTTTGTCTCTCTATGGTCCTTCTGGTCTTTCTGGTCTCTCTCTGGTCTCTCACTGCCAGCTCTGTAGTATTGGGGCCCCTGCTGCTCAGCTGTGGACAGGTCTGTGTTATTTCAATTATTTATTCAAAAACAACAAACTATTGCAAACTCAGAAACAGAAAAGTCTTTTGTTGACGTCTCGGCCTCCACAGCCTCCGTGAGATCACTCCTGTCTCTTCCTTTGGGCAGAATGGACCAGTTCCTTATTTACCTCAAGTACAGTAGAGAGTACAGTGTGTTTTTACAGTCTATGTTTTTTCCATCGTTCCCCTTTATTTCTCAAAGTCAGACTCATAGATCTGTCACTGTCAGTGAAGAGAGCCGTCATTACACTGGAAACCACAACACGCTCATCCGAGACATGACAACACACTATCTGTGAGCTGATGAACACAAAGACACACGCACACACGCACACACACACACACACACGCACACACACACGCACACACACACACACACACACACACACGCACACACGCAAACACACATCCTTGCTTAAGCCTTTGCACGTCCAGACCTGTCTAAAGTTTGCTATTCAGCACTTTAGATCAGGGGGTGTGCAATCTTTTTAGTAATATTGTGTTCACCAGACTTGTCCAGGGCTGACAACCCGGATTTTAAAACTGTTTACAATGGGGTACAGTATCTGCATATTGTACATTTCCTGTTGGTCTAAGTTGAAACAAATTCAAAGTCTGAATATGTGTCCGTCCATACTTATAAGTAAACAAATGGATTCTGAACGAGGTGAAACATGTCTGTATTGGTAGAGCTGAAGTTGGCTGGATTACACTGTGAACTTTTGTTTCTATTTCATCCCTCCTGACCGCCAGAGGGCAGTGCATAGCACTGAAAGCTCCCGTTGCGCATGCACTGAAAAAAGTCAGTGCTATGCACCGCCCTCTGGTGGTCGGGAGAGATTCATATAGCCGGGGTTACATACGTAACCTACGTTATCATTTCAAAGACTACTTTCAGTTAGTGAGGCAGAGGGCCACATGCATTGACACAGCGGTCCACATTTGGCCCACAGGCCTTAGTTTGGACATGTCTGGTTTAGATGATCCAGAAGAGGACTGGGAGAATATAGTCACATGATTCCAAACAGAACTTTTTAGTAAAGTTGTGATTGGAGGAGGAAAAAGCTGCAGAATTGCATCCAAAGAACCCAGACCTGTGAGGCAGGGGGGTGGAAACATCATGCTTTGGGGCTGTTTTTGTGCAAAAAGACCAGGATGATTGATCCGTGTGAAGGTAAGAATAAACCTATTGTGTATTGTGAGATTTGAAGAGTCATCACTGCTGTAGGAGAGATCTGCAGGAGGAATGGGCCAAAATACCAGAGTGTGAAAACCTTGTGAAGACTTGCAGAAAATGCCAACAAAATGGACGTAACAAAGTGTTGAGACGGACTTATTGTGGATGTTGCTTCGTCTAATGCCTTTTCAAACTGAATTTTTCAAATCAAATGTCTTCTTTTGTATGAAATATATATGTTTGAAATAAATTCTTACAAAAATCACCCAAAAATCTTATCTTTGAAAAAACTGCAGGTTCCCTTTGAGATGAGGAATGGTTAAAAAATAGATCAATACCAAAGCAATACTCAAAAATGTGTATTCATTTTAATGCATGTGTGAAAGGACTCTGGACTCAGCTTTTGCTCGCACTTACGGCCTCTCTCTCCCTCCTTTTCTCCTCTCCTTTTCTCCTCTCCTTTCTCCTCTCTCGCCTCTATCCTCCCCCCCTCTCTCTCCTCTCCCCTCTCTCCCCCTCTCTCTCCTCTCCCCCCCTCTCTCCTCTCCCCTCCTCTGTCTGAGTGGCCTCTGCAGTTCGCCCTGACACTTCTCCTCTCTCCTCTCCTCTCTCCTCTCTCCCCTCCTCCTCTCTTCTCTCTCCTCTGTCTGTGTGGCCTCTGCAGTTCGCCCTGACACTTCCCCTCTCTCTGGGGGCGGTCCTGGGGCAGGCTCCGTGCTGCGGGGCGGTCCTAGAGCCGGTGGTGGGCGGTGAGACAGCAGCATTACCCGGAGCTGCTGCTGTCAGAGGCTTCATTCAGCTCCAGCGCTGGGACCTGTGTCAACCCGGACTTCTCTCAAAAAAAAAAAGCAACACACGGATTACACACGCACACGCAGGATACACGCACCTGTCCGGGGACTGAGCTCTACGCGCCACCGCTGCCCCCATGTGTGGATGGGACCAAACGGTGAGCCTCCGACGCCTTCTCTCACGCAGAAACTTTACGCACGGGTTCTCACAAGTTTTATTTTCATTTTCTATTGGGTTTATCGCTAAAAATGACGGCTCTGTCTGTTGTATGTCTGTGCATAACTCTCCTTTACTTAAAACACTGTTACATTTAAAAAAATCTTTGTTTAAATGGCAAGTTTTAAATCACCAGAACCCCGATTTCAACCCATTTAAAATGTGTTAAAAATGATAGATTTCTCGCATCAAATATTCCCAACTTTATCAAACGAAAATCCACAGGTTTTTTACCACGCACGCATCCCAATTCTACTTTTATTCCAACTTATAAACGAGAGAAAAACACAATAATTTCTTAGTCATTTTGAATTTTCCGAACGAATTGCACTAAACGTATTAGGAAAAAAACATTATTATTTGTAGTCCGTTCTTACACAGTCTGACAAAACCATGCGTTGAACTTATGAAGAAAAAGCAACAGTTTAGTGACTTTTAATTGTCACTACCATTAAATCTCAAACACGCTTTTCTTGTTTCATCATTTCAACATATATTTCTAATGCATTTGTTCTCGATGAAGCAGTCAGGGCAGTCCCCATCCACAGGCAGGACAATATCACATTAGTTGCTCAGTAATACAGAATATACTATAGTTATTTCTGATTCGGCTGTAATGTATTTTTGTATGGACAGTGCACGTGTAGAAACTGTGTAAATATGTCAGATTGGAAAACGAAAAGATTGGATTAGTTAGATATCCCGTGTGTACTTGTATGTGTGTGTGTGCGTGTACGTGCTGTATAGGGCAAACATATGATCCATGTATCTCTCTGATTATTGTTTTTATAAATTCTGTGGAAATCGATTCTGGTTTTGCACAAATGTCAAAATTGAGCTTTGTGAAATGCGGGGCAGAAATAACAAGTGATTTGGAGTCAACTAAAATCTGTTTTTAATGAAGCGAGTGATTTTCTGAATTATAGACACAGCAGTTACGTTTTTTCAACACGTAAGTACAGTTCTAGGAGTTTGGAGGCGTCTTTATACTCATTCTGTCTTCGCGACTGCTGGAAGGGGAGGAGGAGGTTGCCATGCACGTTTTAGCAAGACTAAAATAGAAATTAGTCACGCTAATACAGAGAAAAACGTCTCAAAAACTACTGAAATTCAAAAATGGTCAATTCGAGATTTCTGTTTAAGGCCTATAAGTATATAATTTTGCGCGGTTTTCGTTCTTATAAATACAGCAGCACCTTTAATTAAAACGTCTTTGTTTTTAGAAAGGCATATTTTCGCTTTTACGGTGAAAGAGGCCCTATATATATATATCCTCTATAGGTTCAAGGCAGGTTTATTTGTATGGCACAGGGCAACTCAAAGTGCTGGACAAAACAAGAAAAGAGACATTACGGTCAAAAGAGGCATTGATGAGCACAGTTAACCTGGATCAGAGAGAGTAGAAGCCTGTCTGACATTTGCAGGGCAGACTGTTCTATAGATTTTAGCGGTGTGAATCTGAAACGCTGCCTCACTCACTGTGCAAGCCTCTCTCTCTCTCTCTCTCTCTCTCTCTCTCTGTGTTTTCCCGTCGGTCCGCTCACGTGCTGCAGCGGTGCAAAAGTAAAACCCCACGCGTTTTAAAGGGCCTGAACGTAAAGTGAAAGTAAAAGTTTTCAGTTGTAAAATCTGTTTTTTTCCGTGGATTTCGTTCCTCGCGGTGTTCGTCTGGTCTGTCGTCTGTAAATGCGTTATAGTTCTGCTTTTTTGAGTTAAAACTTGCCTAGAAAAGCAGCTGTCGTAATGCAGACACATGTATTTGGTATTATGGTCTGTAATCGTCTTTGCTATTACGGTGACAATGTCCTCTAGAAATATTGATATTGGGCGCCTTTAAATCCTAATAGTACATTTTTACTTTTGCATTTCACGTTGAATTCTCTTCATTTACTCAAGCCATCGTCTTTGTATTTTTTGCATTGGAGAAATATGTAATAATATAGGCTTTATATAGACCTGGCGCGTCTGCTGCCATGGAAACGGCAGTGTAACAGTGTGAACAGTATGTCTGCAGTATTAAAAGGCCTTTTGGTTTCGAAGCGCTGCAGACAAACTTCATCATCCGTGTTTACGCATTCCTCCTGCGTCCGTGTGGTCTCGTGTGCGCGTGCTTGTGTGAATGTGTGTGTGTACGTGTGAATGTGTGTGCGTGTGTGAATATGGTAGAAGAAAAAATATGTGGAGAAAGCAGAATTATTCACGATGTAAAAAAAAACAAAAAAATAGCATTACAACTCGCTATTTGACGTTTTGGGCTGCGTGAGCGCTGATTGGTTGGTTCGGTCCCTTCTTCCACTTTTCCATTGGAGCATTGTGTGGTCGTGGTTCACCCCTATTAACACAATTTGTTTTAATTGAAATAAGAACATAAAAAAAAACGTATAAATTTTTTAAAGATTTTTCTATAAACGTATATATATATATATTTCCCAAATTCATGCAATTTCTAGCATTATTTTAGCGGGTTTTTGCTAAACATTTGCAGACTTTGCCAGATGCAATCAATACAACTATGATTTTGATTGGATTGGACGGCGAGATGATCAGAAGGCCTTTACCAGTTAAAACACAGGGTATTTCTCTAAAACGACTTGGATTTGAAATTTAGGCCTCGATAATCCACTACCTCCAAGACACAACTTTTCATCTCTACATCAAAAATCACGTCACTTTCAGCCTGATTGACAAATTGAGAAATTATTGCCACGTTTTTCGTTTACGGATCTATATTTAGCGCAGACTCCGGGACGTAGCCGTGTCTTCCTTCCTGCGCCTTTGGTCCTTTTCTCTGCAAAGGAAGTGCTCTTATCTGCAGCTCATGGCCCAGAGGAAAAGTGTTTGGAAGAGCCCGAGATTCGGACGTGACGCGGGGAAAGGAGCGGAGCCTACAATAATAATCAGGAGTTTGTTTTCGACTATTGCAGACTTTCGTTTGGTTTTTTCGAGAAGAACAAAAGCAGCTTGCGGCCTTTGGAAACTTAGAAATAAAATATGTGTGAGAAAATGAGTATAAATGTGTTGTATGGTGTATTCTCTTTAATATTTATAACAGATAAATGAGGATTTGCTTGAGAACGTTTCTGGAAGGAGCCAAATCAACTTCAGGCCCTAGAGCCAAATCCGGGCCTCCAAACTGCACAACAAGGCCGCAGTCATCCACACAGTTCTGGGCTAAAATCCTAGTTTAAATCTGACTGGATATAACTAAAAATGTCATGATTATTATTATACGGACTCCGCGTTCAATAAATTATGGATAAAACTATACATTTTATCAGACATTTTTGCTATTTTCTGTGTGAAACGAAGGTTCTATCAGACTGAATGTTTGCTGTTTATTTTCTCGTCTCATACTTTCTCATGAAATACACAAATAGAAAAATTACTTTATTATTTATGCATCTGTGGCATTAAGTAGTTTTAACTTGATCTCAATCTTTGTTCATTTGAATAAAAACAAACAATAATAACAGATAGAGATTTTGTGATTGAAAACCTGCTGAAAAGTGTTAAAAAATATCCATAGAATTTCTTTAAGTTTTAAAATTCATTTTGCTCAATAACTTTGGACTTACAAACTGAAAATGCAACTTAAAATATGTCTTTTTAATAATAGCATTATTAATGATCATTCCAATTGAATTAATAATAAAGGACCAATCATTCTGGGGACACGGGCTCGTCAAATAAGGCCAAAGAGTTTTGTTCAAAAAGTGGAGAGGGCTGTTCTTTCCAAAAAAATTGAAAATCCTGCTATATACCTTTAACTAATGACAAAAGTTTGAATACAGACCCTTTAGACAGAAGGGAAGAGGTTTTAGCCAGAACTGATTAATATTAGCACAAATTCCAACATTCATGCTATGTTGGATTGGCGGTCTTGTGGTGATTGCATGATGTCACTTTTGAATGAAATAAATAAAAAATAAAAATACAAAAAATTAGCACAAATTAAGGTCAAATCCATTCCATGTTTTTGACAAAGTTTCTACAGAATCGGTCTCTCTATGATGTCACTTCATTTTTTTCCAATTTCCTCAAACAGGCAAAAGGTTTAATGCTAATCTTCCCGTGCGTTCTCGCAGGCGACCTCTCAAAGCGCTGCCATGTTGACCAGTGAGGGGGCGCACGCCGCGGAGCAGGACAAGATGGCCGCCGAGGCGAGCTTGGGCTTCGGCTGCACGAGCGAGGGCAGCGACGCCGAGCTGGACGTGGAGGAGGTGGAGGAAGAAGAAGAGGAGGAGGAGGAGCAGCAGCTGTCCAAGATGGCCGACATGACGCGCTGGAGCGAAGCCGAGTTCGAGGAGAGGTGCACCTACGTCGTCAAGGATACGGCGGTGGGGGCGGAGCCGGCGACGCGGAGCCGAGCGGAAGCCACGCTGCCCCGAAACCTGGTGTTCAAGTACAGAGGCGACAGTAACGAGGTAAATACCAGGACCAGTGTTTGACAGAGCGATATGGGGACATTTTATTTAAATACAAGAAAACAAATATTATTGTAGAGAGCTCAGGAATCACAATATCACAGAATAAAAACAGGAAAAAAACGAAAAAAACCCTAAACAAAAAACACTGAACCGTGGATTTTTAACGCCCAAAATTCGGATTCAGTTTATTTGCCTTTTGCAGTAAAACCTTATTGGAATACTTGTGCAAAAGTCCCCAGTGTGCACCAGACAAGTATAACATAAGCTCAAAAGTACAAAAACAATACTCACTCTGGTTCAGACTGAAAGAAGCTTATAGCATTTAGCAACGATATCTTCTGCTGGAGGGAAGAAGCTGGAACATGGCTTTTCCAGGGGCCAGAGGAGTCAGTGATTATTCTAAAAGCTCGGTTTAAGAGTCTGGATTCATAAAGAACCTCCAGAAGAGACAGCTCACAGTCCTCTTTCAGAAACGGCAGAGAAAGTAAAGTCCTCTGTCCCGCTGTATGGAAGTCATTAGTAAACATCAATCCAGTCCGTGTTGGAGTCATCGGTTTAGATTCCTAAATGTTTTACTCATGCGGCAATTAGTCAGGATTTAACAAGGCATGAGTCAGTGTGAGTGAGGAGCGCTCAAAAACCCCCCAAAACTAAACTTTGGACAATATACAAACAATTACTTAGGAGGGAGGGGCGTCTATGATGTCACAGATAGGACAGATTCAACACAGAGTTTGGGCTGAGAATTCCTGATTTGAGACAGTTTTTGAGAAAGGTTTCCCAATAACAGCAGTAGTTCCTGTGACCGCAGCTAGGGGGCGTTGTGTGTGAACTGTCGGTGAACTCACATAGATAGTCCAAGCGGTAAAGGTTCAAACTTAGGACAGCATTGATTTGGAGATAAACAGAAAAAAAGACAAAAACCGTTTTTTTTCCCATTGGTAATAAGCTTATTTCCAACGTAATAATTGATGAGGCTATAAGCAATTACCACACTGTTAGATTCTGTGCTAATGCTAACAAAGAGCTAACCACGTTAGCATCACAATTTATACGTAATTTGACTGGAGAAATTCCCAAAACTAATGCAGAGCCAATACTAATAATCTATGGATTTGACATAGCTTCACAAGTTTGAATACAGAGCATTTAGACAGAAGGGACCGGGGAACAGATTTTTTCCTGAAGTTCTTGGTAGTAGCTTAATTTTAGCTACTGTTTTTGTGAATATTATGTCAGAATTTGGTCCCAACTTCCATTATTTCCAAATTCCTCAAACAGGCAACCATTTTCTTCTTCTTTTTCAGTCTTAAAACGTTCTGAAAGCAGCTCCCAAAAGCGGGTGATCTGCGAGTGTGAACGCGGGGTCAAAAGTTTGCGTTTGACACTTGAAATCTCGGGAGTAAACACACGCATGGATTTCCTCATCAGGTTATCTGCTCGGCGCGTCGCATTGAAACAAAACGATTGATCCGAGTCCGAGCAGAGGAAGTCCAGAGCGTGATCGCACTCAGCTGCTAAAGACACGGACAATGCAAACGTTAGCGCCGCAAGTTATCTGTACCGTGGATAAATGTGTAAACTAGATTTTGTGAACCTTGTAAACGTTGTAGTACATAAAGGATTTCTTTAGCGCGACATCATAGCCTTGAAAATATCTGTTTGAAATATCGGAGAAATTGCTGGATCAGGTTTTATGATTTTGTGACGGCGGTGATGATCCAAGACCCTCGACATTTAACAACATTTATGGGCATTGGTTTCTGCCCCTTATGGACCAATGGCTCTATTGGTTTTTTTATCCTTGCATTTGATGTGTTTGATTCTCTGATCTGTGTCGCGAATTGAAAAAATAAAATAAAAATACAAACAATAATTGAATTGGATGAGAAGCTTGATTGAATTGACAAAGCTTAAGAACATTGGGCGACAGTGGCTCAGTTGGCAGAGCATTGGCCTTAGAACCTGGAGGTCGTAGGTTCGAGCCCACCACAAGACCTACTTCACGACTCCCACTGATGTCTGCTGTCATTGTGTCCTTGGGCAAGACACTTTACCCCACTTTGCCAAAAGCCCCCACTGAATAATCAAGGCTCCTGTGGACTCACCACCTGCAGGAGGATCAGTGAGGGGCTGGTGCTAAGTGTACTCTCCTTTTGGCTAATGCTTATTGTACACTGTCCCTGTAAAAAAAAAACATACAATACCATACAATACATGTCCTATAACAATTAATGCAATATGATAAAATTTGAATAGAAATTCTCGGTTGAATAGTGTGATATTTATTTGTTTGTTTTCGCAGGTGGTTGGCGTCTGCAGCCGAGAGTACATCCCCAAAGGCACTCGCTTCGGGCCGCTGGTCGGAGAGGTCTACACCGCGGACACGGTGCCCAAAGATGCCAACCGCAAATACTTTTGGAGGGTACGGCCCACACAGCTCCATCTCTCATCCGTTATTCCACTATTTACTGCGTAGTCCGGCACTTTTTAGATAGAGATTCAAGCTAAAGGTCACTCAAACCCAATTCAAATGGGTAGAAAGTTGGCAAACAAACTACTTTTTGACCTGATATTGGAAACTTTAAAGAAGCAAATGTAACAGCTAATATTTTAAGACATGGTCATTTATAATCTCTTTGTTTTAGAATGTGGAACAGCTTATTTTACTTGTGTAAGGCTAAAAAATAGTTTTCCGTCGCTAATCCCCTATGCTACTTTTTTTTTACTTTTATATAAATTTGAAAATGTTGGCTGCAAACACATGTGATTGCAAATAACCGTCATTTCACATGAAAAAAAAAACAATATTTATGGGCAATACTTTTGTTTTAAAGAAAGAAAACTGAACTGCTGAGTGTGACGTCATAGTGGTGCAATGACATCATACTCAAGGGGACGCAAAGGGGCGGAGCTACATGTCTCTGATATTAGCGTGGATGGATCTAAAAACAACTCCAGACGTGTTGTCGATGCGTTTTATACGTCTCCGGGCTCCTCCACCGGCTGGACGCTCGGACCCATAAATAGAAAAGGCGCACGTTCGGGTTCAGGCTGAATCAAAGTGCTTCCCTGGGAGATCCGGGGGAGCACTTCCTGTGACATCATCGAGGAAGGAAGTGATGTCGCCGTTTCGCAAATAGTTCAGCAGAGAGTGGGCTTCCTGTAAACATGAGTGAAAGAGTCAGAGGAAGTCCGACAAATACGTGTCTGTGGGACAATCGAGTCAAAATAGAACTTCAGTTTTGTTTTTTTACAATATTTGAACATAATCTTATTTGCACTTTCCTCTGTTGTAAGTTCAAAATATATATACAGTATGTGTGTGTAAAGGCAAGACAAGTTATGTATATAGCACAGTTCATACAAAAGAGAACACACTAGAAAAGAAACATTAAAATCCCATAAATTAAATCACTGAACATGGTCAGAGAAGAAGCCTGTCTCACTTTTTCAGGAAGACTGTTCCAAACCTTAGCTGCATGAATCTGAAATGTTGCTTCCTCATGTTTAGTCCTGACTCTGGGAAACAGCGCAAGGCCAGTCCCTGTGCTCCTCAAAGTTCCAGCAGGAGGCCAGACCCTGTGCTCCTCAGAGTCCCAGCAGGAGGCCAGTCCCTGTGGTCCTCAAAGTTCCAGCAGGAGGCCAGTCCCTGTGGTCCTCAGAGTCCCAGCAGGCCAGTCCCTGTGCTCCTCAGAGTCCCAGCAGGCCAGTCCCTGTGCTCCTCAGAGTCCCAGCAGGCCAGTCCCTGTGCTCCTCAGAGTCCCAGCAGGCCAGTCCCTGTGCTCCTCAGAGTCCCAGCAGGCCAGTCCCTGTGCTCCTCAGAGTCCCCGCAGGAGGCCAATCCCTGTGCTCCTAGTTGGCTCAAACAGCACTAACATGCCACAGATGTACTTTGGTGCGAGGCTATGAAGAAACTTATATTTAATAAAGTATTAAAGTTATAATCCTCATTTTCTTCTATATTTCCTTAAACCAAACTGCTCCTCGTTCGCAGATCTACGAGGACGGCGAGCTGCACCACTTCGTCGACGGCCTGGACGAGGCGCGCTCCAACTGGATGCGCTTCGTGAACCCGGCGCACTGCGAGCCCGACCAGAACATGGCGGCGTGTCAGAACGGCATGGACGTGTACTTCTACACCACGCGTGCTGTGGCGGCGGGGGCGGAGCTTCTGGTGTGGTACTGCAGGGACTACGCGGCGCGGCTTCACTACCCGGCGTCCGGAGAGGCCATGATGCACAAGCTCAGTGAGTACAGCGTCAGAGGATTCACTGTTGTCTCATGACCCTGATCAGAAGTCTTCATACCCCAGTTCTCAGTAGTGTAAGAGAACCTTTGTTAGTGTGTGTTCCCCTTTAACATCTATGAAGCTTGGAGTCTTTAGTCTCTCTCTGGTTACCCTGGTCTCTTTCTGGTCTCTTTCTGGTCTCTTTCTGGTCTCTTTCTGGTCTCTTTCTGGTCTCTTTCTGATCTCTTTCTGGTCTCTTTCTGGTCTCTCTCTGGTCTCTCTCTGGTCTCTCTCTGGTCTCTCTCTGGTCTCTCTCTGGTCTCTTTGGTTGTTCTCTGGTCTCTCTCCGGTCTCTCTCTGATCTCTCTCCTGTCTCTTCCTGGTCTCTCTTTCATCTCTCTCTGGCCTCTCTCTGATCTTTATCTGGTCTCTCTCTGGTCTCTCTCTGGTCTCTCTCTGGTCTCTCTCTGATCTCTCTCTGATCTCTCTCTAGTCTCTCTTCAGTCTCTCTGGTCTCTCTCTGGTCTCTCTCTGGTCTCTCTCTGGTCTCTCTCTGGTCTCTCTCTGGTCTCTCTCCAGTCTCTCTGGTCTCTCTCTGGTCTCTCTCTGCTGATAGGGCTGCCAGTTTTTCTCTGCAAAAATCCTCCAGCTCATGAACATTCCCGGGCCGCCTCGCATTACCCACACCTTTGAGATCTCCCCATTGAAATAACCGCAGTAATCTACTACTATACTCTAGTAGTATCTGGAAGTATCTGGTAGTATCTTTCAGTATGTGCAGTACTTCCCTCTGAGTGAGTGGATGTTTACCTGCCACTGATCCTGAGCCATCGCTGCTTTTACTGCTCCTTTCAAGTTAAAAGCCCCAGAGGGAGGCGGGGGGGTTGGGGGGCATTAGTCCTACTTGCCCCCTCCCCATCCTTTTAATGACTGTCACCGCGACGACGGCACTGCAGATGAAAGCCTGGCGACGCGGCATGTAGTAGTTTGCGTGTACTCTGTGTGTACTTTGTGTGTAGCTGGAGATAATGACAGAGTAAAGGGACAGAGAGGAAGGAGACGCAGCCTCAAAACACTGTTAAAGACACGCAGCGGATTAATACTGTCTGCCACAAGTCTGCAGTACTTCTACTACTACTGCTGCGGATACTGGCACTGCAGTACGAACCCTACTAATACTTCTACTGCTGATGACTACTATTGCCACGACTTGCACAACGGCTGCTGCCACTACTTCTGCTTTTAAAACAACAAAAAGTTATACTGCTGCTGGTATAACTACTGCTACTGTTGTCATTACTGCAACTACTGCTACTACTACTGCTGATGCTGCTACGATTACTACTACTACTGCTAATACAACTACTGCTGATGCTGCTACGATTACTACTACTACTGCTACTACTGTTATCCTACTGTTGTAACTAGTACTGCTGCTGCTACCACGGCTATAAATCTACTACTGATACGATACTACTGCTAGGACTACTATTACTAATAAGTACTCCTGATACTACTGCCGGCTGCTACTACTGTTTTTACGACAACAAAAATTGCTACTTCTACTACTACTGTTATTACTATTGCAACGGCTGCAAGAAGGCCGCGCTCTCAGCCAATCAGCTCTCAGACAGAATGTTGGCATCTGATTTGTTCACATAGTTTTGCTCTTTCTGTTTGTTACAGAAATTCATATTTATGAGACTGAAAAAAGTGTCAAATAACCAGACTAAAACTGTACCATAACTGTTTACCATAACCATTTGGACTGCTCCCATACAAGCCAATAGAATTCTTAGAGATATTCCAAAAAAGTGAGTTTGTTTCAAAGATTTCTACATTTACTCACTTTTAATAACTGCAAAAAAACTGGTGAATATAACAGTTTAATGACAACTGAAAGCAAACAGTGTGTTGCTATTATAATTTACTTTATAATTTCGCAAACATAATGATACAGAAATAATTACATATAGAAACAAAAGTTATATTGATCACAAATGCACCAGTGCTGAAGGTAAAGTTAGAATCTCTCTCTGACTGACGCAGACTTTTATGGCGGAGGATGAAAGAGCGCGTGGTCGCGGCCGACACAAAGCCGCTGAATGGGATTGAGGTTTCCAGGTGAGACTGTGGGCTAATTGCAGCCTGGGCGACTCCTCGGGTCCATGCGCATGGCCCCGGGTCCCCCCTGGAGCCCCCCCTGAGCCCCCCCATGGTCTGTGTGTATACAGCCTCTTGTTTCCTCAATGGGCTCTCCTCTTTCAGAGCTGTGACCCAGTGTACCTGTGCCATTGTCTCGCAGGTCACGTTTTTTGTCTTTTTATGGCCTTAATTAAGATGTTAGGAATGTGTATTTACAGAAGGCATATTATTGCTTTTCTGTATGACACTAAATAAAGACTAACATTTACCTTCACTCTTTCAATCATATTTATTCTAGTCTATTTAAGAAGACTGATTATATTTTGTACCACTTATTACTTTTATTGCGCTTTTTAAACCCACTTATAATGTGTTTTAAACCCCATACTTTTATACTGCTCTATATGAAGTAATTGTGTATTTATTTACTTTTTAATGCATTTTGATCTGTGTTTTTAAATTTCCCTTGTGAAGCACTAAGAATTGCCTTGTACACAGATGTTGCTATACAAATTGAATATGATTGAAGAAGCAAATCTCGGTAAATACTGTGTACTCCTGCTTTGCTCTTACTACTGTCCTGTATGTGCGCTGCAACACTGGAATTTCCCCGCTGTGGCCTAAAATTAAGATGTTAGGAATATGTATTTACAGACGGCGTATTATTGCTTTCTGGCTTGACACTAAAAAGCTCATTTTACAATCCGTTAGCAAGACTAGCATTTAGCTTCAGTCATGCATTATTAGCATTTAAGTTGCTATTTAGCCATTTAAGTTAGCTTGTTAAGTAGCTTCATATCTCTGTATATGTTATGTGCTCTGACTACTGTCCTGTAAGTGCGCTGCAACCCTGAAATTTCCCCACTGCTGTATAGGTAAAGTTTCTCTTAATCTCATGCTAACACCGCTCCCTTGTCAGAAACAGACCTGCCGTAGTTGTTCCTCCTCACATAATATTATCAGCGTCTCTTCAGCACCAACCTGCCCCCTCTCCCTCTCAGAACGCTCTCTCCTGAATCTGTCCGATCTGAGAGAGCTGCTGAGATTGCCTTTATAAACACGTTGTAAATACATGAGCACTGTGAGCTGGTATGGGGCTCTTCCGCTTCTATAACAGTTGTTAAATGGCGATGGGGGGGGTCCGGACCTCCCCCCGCTCCCCCCCTGCGTCCACGACTCGCTCTCACTTCCTGGCAGAGGGGCCGTGTTGATAGATTGATATCTCCAAAATGGCCGCCCTCCTGTTTGCTCTGTGGAAGTGGGAAGAAGCAGGAGGGGGTGAGGAGGGGTGAGGAGGGGTGAGGGGGGGTAATTGATAAGGTGGATGTTTACACTGGGCGGATGTACAGGTCAGAGGCAGCGTGTGGGGGCTCGCCTCGGAGAGCTGGCAGAGAGTGCTACTAATACTAATACTAATACTAATACTACTACTACTACTACCTATACTGCTGCTGCGATGCTGCTGATGCCTCAAATGGTTTACAACTACTTCTGCTTTTATTACTACTACTACTTCTACTTCTACTACTTATACTGCTGCTGATGGTACAAATACTTTACACTACTTCTGCTTCTATTACTACTGATACTACTACTACAAATACCAATACTGTTGCTTCTATTACTACTTCTTCCTCTACTACTGCCGATGATGCTGCTGCGGCTGATGCTACAAATACGTTACTACTACTTCTGTTTCTACTGTATCACTACCACTACTACAACTACCTATACTGCTGCTGATGCTACAAATAGTTTACTACTACTTCTGCATCACTACTACTATCACTACTAATACTACTACTACTACTAGTACCTCTTCTACTGCTGATGATGCTACTGCTGGTACTACAGCTATACATCTACTAGTAATACTTTACTACTACTACTGAAACTACCGCAACTACTACTACTACTACCTCTACTGCTTCTGCTGCTTTTGCTTCTGTGTACAATTATTATTAATACTACGACTACACTACTCCAACTACTACTACTACTGCTGCTGCTACTACTATTATTGCTTCTGCTACTACAAACCAGGAGTTGTTTTGAGCTTCGTCCATGCTATTGTCAGCAAATTCAGGCACAAACCCGTCCCCCCACCCCTTCTGTCTGAAAACAAACCTTTTCAAACCTAGTACTTGTTGAGCCTATTGAGTTTTTTAATCAAATGACCTTCTTTACAAGTCAACATGAATACCATTTATGTTTCCAGTCCAGTCTGAAATTGTGTCATATGGTAAAAAGTTGAAGAAAAAACTGTGAAAAGACTCTTCCAGTGTGTTTTTGTGTCGGAGATAAAGCTCGCGGGTCAGAAAGTTAAAACAAGCCATCGGTAACTCAGTGCGCCAATTAGAGTGACACATTTGACGAACGATGTCAGAGCAGAAGGGGAGGGGGTGCAGGAAGTGAGCCATGACAGAGACCCTGCAGCCGCCGCCCCAGGCCTCTGTGTGTGTGCGTGTGTGTGTGTGTGAGTGTGTGTCTCTGTGTGTGTGTGCGTGTGTGTGTGTGTGTGTCTCTGTGTGTGTGTGGGTCTATTAAAGGAGATACAATCAGGGCTTTAAGGGAATGGGAAAGAGATAAAGATAAACTTGTACTTGTGGCTTGGCCTGTCACCATAGTAAACAAACTGACCGAATGACAGATGGATACAGCAAAACCCGACAAGATTCAAACTTTTCGGGCCTCTGCAAATAAGTATAAATAATAATAATAATAATATAATAATCATTTTTACAGTTTCTTTACAATAATGGACAGATTTTGACTTTTTTCTATGCAAAACGATGAGGTTATAGCTGTAGGGTATTTGGACTATTGGAAACGTACACAAGCCATTTCTTGTCAATTATATAGTCTGAATGTTCAAATGATAATAAAAAACTACTCTCTAGACCCCTGTAAATTCCTGGGTTGCCTTGCATGAGCTACGGCTACAATAAGGCCAAAGCAATAAAACATCACAGCGGCTGATTTTCTCACAATGATCACAATCTTTAAGACATTCTATGATGATTTTTTATGCCATTAAATCTATGTTTTACTTACATACCTTGTCTGCGCCTTGAGCTAAAGCTTAGTCCTTGTTTGTGACTTCCTGTTCCTTCCGATAGCAATGATTCTGATTGTGACGTGGACATGACACGTTGGGTGTCCGTGGTCTTTTGTGCGCTGGTGTGGAGGGGGGGTCAGAGGTGAGAGCAGACGCTTCCTCCCTCGCCTCCCTCGTCTCCCACACCTCGGCTCGCGTCCGCTCTGATGAAAGGCCAGATTAGGAGCAGGGTTAGCGCTCGGCGGCTAAAGACGCTAAGTGCGCGCTTCAAACGTGCTGCGCTTCGAGAGGGTTAACCTGCGGGTCAGGATCAGAAGTTCAAGAAGCCATTTTGTCAACTTTCATTTCTTCTTTTGGCGATGTAGCTACAGTGATACAGTACATGTAGTTATGATAATTGACACAAGTATTTTATTTATTATGAGCATTCTAAGACAAACTTTATGGTAGTAAAGCCATACCTGCATGTGAAAGCCATGCCCAACAGACCTCTGAAGCTGTGCGGGGCAGGGCCTGGTTAGTACTGTGATGGGAGACCTCTCGGAACACCAGCTGCCACAGTGGGGCAGAATGAGTCTGGTGCGTGGAGCTTAGTTTGTGTTTGCAGTGAAAGAATTATGACATGTGAAGCGTCTTTCAGAGTCCAGAAAAGCTCTATATAAAACCAATGTATTGTCATTATTATTATATTTATTTTTACTATTATTACATTTATAGTCTAATTTGCTCAAACACATGGAACAAAGTCTGAACCTCTTTTCTCCTCTCCCTCCACAGAGCAGTCTCTCCTGGAGGCAAAGCAGCAGCAGCACGCGGTGGAGGAGCGCTTGTCTCCGCCCGCCCGCCTCACCCACCCGTCCCCCGCACGGCCCTCCCCAACGCGCCCCCGACGCGAGCACAGCGTGTCCTCCATCCTCCGCGGCTCCAGCACTAGCGCGCCCTCCTGCTTACCCGCCCGCCCGCTCCCCACGCGCCCTGTCTACCCCCATGCGCCCTACTACAAACCCGCGCAGCTGCCGTCGCGCTCACCCAGCCCCGACAGCGACTCGGCGCACTTCTACCAGCCGTTCGCTGCGTACTCCCCGCCATCCGCTCACTTCTACAACGCGCAGTACCCACGCTACGTCTACCCTCCTGCGCTCGGAGGCGTGCCCGCGATTGGAGGGCTGTTCCCCAGGATGTACCCTCTCTACGGCGGGATGCTGCCCCCCATGCTGCCGTCGGAAGCTAGCGCGCGACGATTCTTCCTCCCAGAACTCAACGCACACAGAGACTTTTTGCTTCCGGGCCCGACCAGCGCTTTCCACGCAGCTACGTCGCTCAAAGACAAAGCAAGTTCGCATTCGCACCTGCAGCAGTATCACGTGGGTTCTTCTGGCGGGTCTCCGACGGCCGGGACGTCTCCACCCAGCGAGCGCGTGGCGACCAAGCCCACGTCGGCGGCCATGTTGGCGAGCCCCGGCAGCAGCAGTAGTGGGAGGAGTAGCATCGGAAGCATGGACTGTGATGAAGCCATGAACCTGAGCAAAGTGAAGCGCAGTGCGGGCTCGGCGGGCTACAAGGCGCTGCCGTATCCTCTGAAGAAGCAGAACGGGAAGATCAAGTACGAGTGCAACGTGTGCAGCAAGACCTTCGGCCAGCTCTCCAACCTGAAGGTGAGGAACCAAAAATACAGAGAGAAACTCCGAAAATACAATATTGTTCGCATTTTTGCAAAGAAAATTAAATAGTAATTCGCCCTACTTGACTCTACTTTACTAGCTATCAGTGTGATTTTACCCATTTAAACCAATAGAATTCTGAAAAATTCCCCCAAAAAGCGCTTTTTTACAAACGCTACATATTTAATAAAAAAACATTGAATAGAAATAAACTACATGTAGATACAGAAATATGAACCATCCTAAGCTGGCTCTATAGTAAAATGAACCATCCTAAGCTGGCACTATAGTAAAATGAACCATCCTAAGCTGGCTCTATAGTAAAATGAACCATCCTAAGCTGGCACTATAGTAAAATGAACCATCCTAAGCTGGCTCTATAGTAAAATGAACCATTCTAAGCTGGCACTATAGTAAAATGAACCATCCTAAGCTGGCACTATAGTAAAATGAACCATCCTAAGCTGGCTCTATAGTAAAATGAACCATTCTAAGCTGGCACTATAGTAAAATGAACCATCCTAAGCTGGCTCTATAGTAAAATGAACCATCCTAAGCTGGCTCTATAGTAAAATGAACCATTCTAAGCTGGCTCTATAGTAAAATGAACCATCCTAAGCTGGCTCTATATAAATGGCTCAGATATTGCCCCAGATATGAACCAGGCCTTGCTTCTCCACCTGCAGGACTGTCGTGAGTGCCGCGTATCGAAAGGAGACAACGTTATCGCCGCTATCTGATTTATGGCCTCATTATCATACCAGGCTTTGTACAGTAGACACGAGCTGTAATTAGAGCCGCCACTCCGCCGAGGTGCGCCATAAACGGACGAGCCAGACGAACCCAAAACAAACAACACATGGCCTCTAATAATCTGCTGTGGAGTCTATTAAACGCAGTCATTACGGCACGTAAAAATGTGCCCTGTTTTAATACCGCTCCAGGATTTCAGGGCCGGGATTCTCGCTCGGCTTAAGACGTTTCACCTGCGAGTTTCTCTAGATGAGTTTTGTGTTTCTTTAAAGGGGACATTGGCCTCATCCTTCATTTGAAATTGAACTTTTAAGAGCTACAGCTTTGGTCATGTGAAATTAAAATAGCTTTTACTTTTATTAATTGTCAGCTTCATAACTTTCTGTATCTATATTTATATTGTGTGTATTTCTATGGCATCATGTTTAAGTTGTCTTTTTTATTTCAGATATATATTTAGCTATAACTCTCTTTTCAGTTGCTTACTTTCTATGGGAGTTTGGTCCTGGACTGGTTTTCCCTGTGCTCTTAAATGCATCTGCTGGACTTGTCTCAGTACTGTCAGCAGTAATTTGTTGGGCTGTAAATGTAGATAATTAAACTAGTCTCCTCTCTTCCTCAGGTCCATCTGCGTGTGCACAGCGGGGAAAGGCCGTTCAAATGTCAGACCTGTAACAAAGGCTTCACGCAGCTCGCACATCTGCAGAAACACTTCCTGGTTCACACGGGGGAGAAGCCGCACGAATGCCAGGTGAGGGCGCCACTGAGCACAGACAACAACCGGAATTATTGATTTGAAGGATGAGAATCTAACAAGGCAGATGGAATAATTAGACCAGAATAATCCTCCAAAGTAATTTAGAGGCAGAATGTCCTGGTGGGATTCGCCGCATATTATTGTGTTGTCACTCCACGATAATATCAGGGACTTTTGACACAAACATGTAACTACTCCATCTTTTCATGTATTAAAATATGTAAAACATGTGATTTTACAGTGAATGGCAAATAAACTGAGTCTGAATCTTTCCGTCTAAAAGCTCAGTCTCAGTGCTGTAACAGTGTGATGTCATCGCACCACTATGACATCACTATGACATCACTCAGTTTTGACCATTCATTATTTTTGGTCATTTCTCAAGTGAAATGACATTTGTCTCATGGCAGAGTTTGCAGTCGGTAATTTAGAAAATTGGGAGGATAACAAAGTCAACCCCTCCCTCTGGTGGTAGTGTAAGGAAGTACAGCCTAATAGCGGCAGTAGCTCAGTTGGTAGAGCGTTGGCCTTTGAGCCAGAAGGTCGTGGGTTCAAGCCCCGCTCAAGACTTTCACCATCGACTCCCACTGACTACTGTCGTTGTGTCCTTGGCAAGACACTTAACCTCTGGGAACACCAGCCACAGTGGGGCGGCTGCGGCTGTAAAGTGCCAAACTGCCGTTGTGTCCTTAGGCAAGACACTTCACCCCCATTGCCTAGAATGAGTCTTGTGTGTGTGAATGGTTGGTGGTGGTCGGAAGGGCCGATGGCGCATACTGGTTGCCTCGCTTCTGTCAGTGTGCCCCAGGGCAGCTGTGGCTACAGTAGTAGTTTATCACCACCGTGTTTGGAGTGAATGAATAATGACACATGTGAAGCGTCTTTGAGTGTCCAAAAAAGCGCTATATAAAACCGATGCATTATTATTATTTATTATTATTGATAGCATTATTTTCCCGTGATACTTGTTTCACCATTTATTTTCTACTGAGAGATATTATTTCACGTTCTATGACATATTCTCTTTTTTATTGTTAATTTACTTGGAATCTAAAGTTTTTGGCGTTTTGTGTTTTGCAGGTGTGTCACAAGCGCTTCAGCAGCACCAGTAACCTGAAGACGCACCTGCGGCTGCACTCGGGCGAGAAGCCGTACCACTGCAAGCTGTGTCCCGCCAAGTTCACGCAGTTCGTGCACCTCAAGCTCCACAAGCGCCTGCACTCCCGCGACCGGCCGCACACCTGCCCGCACTGTCCGCGCCGCTACATCCACCTGTGCAGCCTGCGCCTGCACCTGCGCGGCAGCTGCGGCGGCAACGGCCCAGAGACGGAGCAGCTGCGACGCGCCAACGAGGAGATCGAGCGCTTCGACCTGAGCGAGCACGCGGAGCGGCTGGAGGGCATGAGCGCGGGCGCTGACACCGAGGCCGCGCTGGAGAGACAGGTGCTCGGCGCCGCACTGTACCGTGGGTATGCGGCCTACGAGCAGAACACAGTGATCAGAGGACCCACGATCGTGGTCAAGCAGGAGGAGGAGGTGTGAAGGTTCCCCACGAAGGACTCATAAAGGCGTTCATTCAAAGGACTCAAGGAGAAGACCTTCGTTGAACCGAAAAGTCACATTGAGATTCTGAAGAGACTGCTCTGTGCTTGTACTCTGTACACTGCAGAAAGTGATGAAAAATAAGTCACACATTTCCCAAATTTGGCAAAAAGTAGCTTGATTTGAGCACATTCTGACTGAGCCTTAAAACAAGATTTACCAATGCGACAAAAAAAATCGTATAAAGATGCAAGAAATTTCTCCCTTGAAATGAGAAAATAAACCATCGGTTCTTGAAATAAGTCTTATTGGTTTTGTCCCATTGGAGAATCTTGTTTTAACAGTCACAAAGCCTCAGATTAAGATAAAAAACACTCGATTCAAACGATTATCACCTCATATTTTAACATTTTTTCAGTGTACACACTCTCACCCCAGTCGACGCTAATTCATCGGAACATTTTCTACACCTACAAGAAATCCGTGGGAAAATGCTCAAAAACACTGAAACATGGGACGTAATCTTGGCCAGTTTAGGTAATAAATTAATAGCGTTAGAATAGGATTTGCCGATGGAACAAGCTAGTCCCTCGGCAAAAACATTCAATAACCTTGTGTCTCGTAATATCGTAGTTTTGGACAAGATATAGGAATATATTAATATGTATTATACAAAGCGTCACTGGGGTGGAGCATGGAAAAAAGCCATAGACCCAAAGCTTTATAATATCCACCAAAGAAGAAGAAGAAATATGCAAAAGAACTCACCAGCGTCACCACCTCAGCCCACCTGAACCCGGACGGCGATGTTCGGCGCAACTTTGTAAATAAACGTTTAAAAAAAGACTGAAAAAAACCCGACAAAAAAACCAAAAACTTTTCCTCAAATCAGGGACTTTTTCTCTCAGGGCGAAACAAAGCGACCCGACCATGACTACTACACTGTCCTTATGTTAAAGACAATCATATAACCAGGTCTAATGTTATTGTAAATTAATGTTAATATAATGTTTTGTTTTTAATTTATTGATGATTCTCTTCAAGATCTTAAAACGATTTCCAAACACAACTTCATCAGGGGCTTTTAAAAAATATTTATAATTTAATTTTCACCCAGAACTAACCGGCACATGCATTATTATTATTATTATCTTACTCTTCCATCGGTCAGTCCGAGCTTTTATTGTATTGTTTTTACTACAACCTTTACCTCAGAGTGGATGTTGGAATGACTGTGCGTTCGAAATTATTATTTATTTTTGTTTTTTTTGCTACTTGAAGAAGGTTTTAAGTGAGAGAAGGTTTAGCAACGTGTAGCACATCGTGGTTCTGTTTGGGGAACGCTGTCCAAACCCAAACGTCTTGACGCTAGCAACCAAAGTGACAAAAGTTTTTAAGCTCTACCGGTCTGCGACTAAAGCTGGGGTACGTAACTTTCAAACCACAGATATGGAACTTTACGGGGTTTAACATTTTTAGCCAATAGCCCAGTTTTATTGGGGGGTTTTTTGCGCTAATTCATTTGTCATTAAAGCTGGGCTAATCTATACAAGGTAGGGTCAAAACTAAAACTTTCAACACCCCTAGACTCATCTGAACATCATGGTGCTAGCATTGTGTTGAAAATTAGCATTAACTAGCGCATGTTTAAAGAATTACAACGCCTTATCAGAGAGTAACAAGAAGTCACAAACAAGGGCATTGCTTTGGCTCTTAGTTCAAACAAGCTAAAGTAAAAAATTGCTAGCATTGTGTTGAAAATTAGCATTAACTAGCGCACCTTTAAAGCATTTCCAAAACAGTATCTGTGTTGGTCTCTTCATTATTTTCCAGTATGAACTGTTAAGTGTATTATTAGTTTCTGCTGATTCATGCTACACTCACCTTTGTTCATTGATATTTTTATTAATTTAGTTTGATTCCCTCTATGCTAATCTCTGTTTACTGCTGATTCACTCTCCACTAATCTCCATGCTGTGCTAATTCATGCTAGGCTAATAGTTACGTTATGCTAATGCTAAATTGTGATTTTTTTTTTTTGGAAACTTTTTGATTCATGTCCAATAGCTTTAATCA